GTTAAATGAAACATATACAAATGAAAAAAAGATGTATAGAGTTTTCCAAAACCAAAATATAAGAAAATAAAATCAAAGCTATTTAAATACAGGTACAAAAAATATGTATATATATATATATATATATATATATATATATATATATATATATATATATATATATATATATATATATATATATATATAAACTACTTTATTATACTCTCACTATGAGATAGTGGGCATCGACTTTCATTATTTTGGCGATACTTATTTTATGGCTCAATATTGGGGATTTCTCAGTTACGGTTCTATTTTTCTTCTGTAATCTCTATTAATGGCCGTCGCCAGAAAGCTGCCAATTTTTTCTTTAATACTTTTGTCAGTAGCGATTTCAAAATGAACGAATACAACGATAAATGATTAAACGCAATTCTAAAAAATGTTTTTTCAATATCATCACAATATAATTTTGAAATATATAATTTTTCACGTATAAATATTGTAAAATAATTAGCTTTTATTAAAATATTTATTTATTAAAAGGAAATGGAATGTAAAAAACAAATATTGTGCTTTACCTATAACGACCTTGCAGGACGTTTTTGTTTCCTTCCATACACTGAGTATGAAAAAACATACTTCTTTGGCCATTAACTGTATTGAGATTGTCGCTGTAAGTTGTTTGTCATCTCCAACCGAAGAAAGAAAGTCTAAAATAAGAAAACAATGTAATATAATTGGTTGTACTAAAAGTATAATGGTTCCTCATGTGTATGTATTAGAGGGTTTTCCATAATGTGATTCTTAATAAAATATGACATTATGGAAGAATAAAAGCAATTGGTTATAAATAGATTATGACGTCTATAGCGGTGAATACACCCTTTAGATGTCATAGATATCTGAGATTAGTAGTCATTGTTGCACAAAATACATTGCTAACTGAGCATAAAAGATAAAAATCACAATAAAATGTAATAAGCATTTATATAAAATATTCTGATATACAACATAATTATAGTCAATCACATATCATATTGTATCATTTGTTTGTATGTTACATAAAAATGTATCATATATTTTAAAAATTAAAAACTTTAATAGTACATGGTACTGTTTCCAAAAACTATTAACTAATATCAATTCACTGATATATACTATTGAGTCCTAAGGTGTCTTTGTTCCATTTTTGTTTTTTGAGGTTTGGAAGACCTTTTTTTCTCTATAGCTGGCAAATAAATTCAATAAATTGAAAGAGATAGTCAAGCAAAGCTCTGATGAAACCACTTAACCCTAAAACACTAAAGATTTCTTCAATCTTTGAGAAACTGAGAGACAATATCATCAGTGTCACTTTTTTTGTAACCTGCATCCTTTTACGCTGGAGGCACAGATAATTCCGTTCTAGAGCAGTCTCATAACAATAAAAAAAAAGTATAAAGAAGAGATGAAACCATACATTTACTATATTTGAGTCAAACACAGCTGTTTAGATAAAAAACAAAGAAAATACTGTAAATAAAACAAAAAACAATATTGTAAATAAGACAATTACAAAAAAAAATTTATTTTCAGCTGCTTTCAGTTACTTTTAAAAGCGTGACTTTATGTATGGCAGCCTGAAGGCAAGATGCTTGCAAGTGATTTGGCCAATACACCAAACTTTCATTGATCTGCCATGAAAAACAGATTACATTCATGGCACACATATTGTTTTTTCATCAAAAAATTCAGCCAGAGCAAATTTTGTAAACTTTAATACCACCTTCGGTTTAATGGTACATCGGTGAATTTTAAAGTTTGCGCGGTTTGGAAAGGTTTCTATGATAACGTTTTCTTATTTATATATGATATTAAGGAAGATAAACAACTTGAGGCTTTAAGTAAATATTTACCCCAAGACTACGAGATTCAAATTAGCATGAGATTAAGATATCATGCTCAATTGAATGAGTTAGCCAGGCAAAGAATATTTTTCTCAGTTATGGAACACTGAAAAAAAGTGTTTTCAATATACAACACTAAAAAAATAAACATAAAACTAACTCGGGGTTTAACTAATTTTAATTATTTGGTGTTTAATTATAAGATTTTGATATAACAGATTGTTATTATTATTGTTGTTGTTATTATTATTATTTTCTAATGTTATAACTTTACAAATAGAAAATTTAGGTATATAAAAAAGCCTATCAACCTTTTGTTCTATTGTATCTAATTGTGTCGGTCTATTTGTTTATATGCAATTGTACATTTGATGAACCCAAGATGCATCTAGATGTTTTTTAAATGTCGTGACAGATGTTGAACACTATTTCAGATGGTAGACTATTCTACAAATTTGTGAATTTCATGTTAGAAAAGTTTTTTCTGGACATATGTCTTACAAAACATTTTTTTCAATTTATAAGCATGATCGCATCTTGTTAAGTTGGAGTTAGTCACAATGGAGGAATAAATACTAACTAAATTTGTAATCATATATTAATATTAAGAAATGGCCATATTAACACACATG